AATGTTCTATCAGTAGAACTCAGAAAGATAATACTAGAAAAGTGATATTATTACCTGCTCGCTAAAACTGGGAACGAAACAGTCACTTCTATATGACGGAGTATAAGGGAGATAAATAGAGAATTTGCAAGGAATACCATACAAACGCTATCAAGAATTGTACAGAATTCTTACAGAGAAAAACAAGGGACATTACAGCCAGCCTTTTGATATGTTTTCATGCAATATCCTTGCACAATAGAGAATATTACCACTTATCATTATTGCAACACACATTTCAGTTCTGTTTTAACATGCTGTGTGGCATCTGCTATGTACAGTATTTTAGCAGTTTCTACCTCCTGGGCAGGAAGTAAAAGAAAAAAGATCATTTTAGGGAATAGCTAACCATGTGACAGGCTTTTCTTTTTTTGTGTGCAAAAGTACTTTCACTCTGAATGCAGTCTCATGCTCCTTGAGCACCTGGACAATTCAGAATGCCTTTCTTTCTAGTCCTAAACTAGTCTTCTTTAATGTAAACATAGCATAATAGTACATTCATTTTTATCAGATATTGTTCTGACCCAACCTGGTTCCAAGAGAGCAAACACAGGACAAAGGCAGCAGCACCCACCTTTTAAGGTTTCATCTATGAATTCTGTTTCTTCACAGACAAAAGACTGCTTCCAAATAATTAGCTCTGACAAGAAAGAGCCTTGCCAAGTTGTTTGTCAAGGCTGCCAAAAACCCAGAGATAAGAACTAGTTGACAAGAGTTTTCAAATACTAACTATGATGTTCACGAAGCTGAGCTTCAGAGCATCTTTGCCTTCTGCAAAGAATGCTTCTTCAAACCTGGCTTTTATCCTCTTGAGGGAGGGGCCATTACCTTGCAGCCTTACTCCTGAGTCACCTGTGCTGCTGTAACTGCTCTTTCCTATGATCAATCCTGCGTGCACGCACGCTTTGCACAAGCTCCTCGGGAACCTCCTCATCACTGCTGCCAGCCCCCACAATCTCTGAAGGCAGCAGTCCACTCCCTAATGGTCCTGGCCCCTCATCTGAGTCCTCGCTCTCCTCCACCGTCTGCATCTGCTGCCGGCTAACCACAACAGATATTCTACCAAGCCACTTTTCCTATACCAAGGTTTAATTAATTGTGAAAACAGCCATGCCAAGACTTTAGTGCAGCTTTGGTCACTCAAATATTCCACTCAAAGTATTCTGGAATACAACTTTCACTACAGCAAGACTGCCAGTGCCCTATTTGTTTTGTTTGACGTGAATGTAATCTGGATCACTCCAAGCTGAGAAAGGAAGAAAAGCCACATTAAGCCTAGGTTAACTGGGATTAAAACTTTATTCATTTCCAGCTATGAGGCAAATCTGGGAAAGTGATCAAATGTGTACCTGATCATGCGTTAGAATCGGTTGTTAACATTCTAAGCAATTCAGAGAACCGGTTGTTAGAAGAAATTACTGGCCTAATCCTGTAAGGAAGGCAGGAAGGAAACATTCTGGGGTTGCTTACAGAAACTGCCTCTCCGTTAACCCTTATTACATTCTTGGCAGGATTAGACTTCCTGTCTCAGGAACCTCTCTGGAGTTTTCTTCCCCTCCTTTGCTGGTATTTTGTTTGTGTGGAGTGACCATTCAAAGTTACAATGGCACTGAAAAAAGTGACTTATGACGGTTTTACACACTTACGACTGATGCAGCATCTCACAGTCGAGAGGCCAGATGAGGAGATGCGTTCCTCGATGTGGGTGATATTGAGTTGGCCATGCCCAGCCAATAACATGAGCACCAAGCCATGTCCACTCAGTCACATGACCATCAAGCCATGCCTACCACCTAAGCCACGCCAACAGAACCAGTTGTTAAAAAATTTGAACCCCACCCCTGCACGTAGGTTCTTCTTGGCTTCTAGGTGCTCACTAAGAAAGGATTTTTTCAAAATGACTAATGAACATTAGTATTTCCTATATTATTATTAACACGCTCTGATGCTAAGTAGTTCTACTCCCCCTCCCCACCTGAAAAAAATATGTTCCAATTGCAGTTGAGCTAAGCCATGCCCAGGCTCCTTGCTGTCACCTTCTTGCTCACACAGCAAATACTGTTTCAGTTTCCAAACAGTCCTCAACTGTCTCACACACTGACAGGATGCTAGCCAGATGAATACCGATGGATGCTGATAGGCAGAGGCACAATTTGCCCCCCCTTATTTTCCTCCCCCCAAATTTGCCCGATCACATAGTTTCGTAGCAAAGCACAGGTACCCTACTAATAAGTTATACTCATGCATTTTTAGCAGCTGGGGAAAAAAGTTTAAGGCAAGGCAGAATGGTGGCCATCTATTAATATTATTCCGGAAAGCAGGACTAAAAGCAGTTTAACTAAACAATGATCAGGAGGTGCTTCCAAAAATTTATTAGCTTTCATTTCCGAAAATGTTTAAGCACGGGCTATACAGCCAATTGCAGTCACAGCAATTTGTTGGTGCTTCCTAGAGTATCACATTTCATTTTAAAAACGTGATACTTTCCAGCATTTAGAGTTGAAAATTGCTGAATTTCATGTATTTTATTTTCTTCACAAGTGGTGCCTGTTTTTCCCCATCACCACCCTGTAAAGCTAAATTAATCTCCGGTAGCCCTACTGTATTTCTGACGTATTAAAAAAAAATGTCCTTGTAGATTGGGCAACAGAGGTGGTATTCAGCAGGTTCTGACCAGTTCTTGAGAACCACTAGCAGAAATTTTGAATAGTTCAGAGAACCGGCAAATACCACCTCTGACTGGCCCCGCCCCCATCTATTCTTTGCCTCCCGAGTCCCAGCTGATCAGCTGGGTCTTCTTTTGTTGCCCTACACAGGAGTACGGAGCTGGAAAGCAGGTTAGTGGAGTGGGGAGGGAATTGAGACTTTGCAGTAACCTTCCCCCTGGAGTGGAGAGGAAATGGAGATTTTACAGCAAGGGTCTTCAAATTTGGCAAGTTTAAGACTTGTGGACTTCAACTCCCAGAACTCCTGAGCTAACATGACCGGAGGAGGAATTCTGGGAGTTGAAGTCCACAAGTCTTAAAGCTGTCAAGTTTGAAGACTCCTGTTTTACAGTATCCTTCCCCTCCAACGCCCACAGAACCTGTAGTATAAAAATTTGAATCCCACCACTGTTGGGCAGCCTTGGACAGTTCTAAAAGAAATTCAGAAATTCTAAAAGAAATACAGTACAATATGGGAGGGGGCCAAGAGGAAGACCTCACCGTTTATAGCCCTCATAATTTTCCATCCCTGTGGTAGGGCAATTGCATAATACAGTAATAATAACAATAACAACAGCAATAACTCATCTCATTTGAAAAAAGATCTTCTCTCTGGATGAATTTCTACTTGTCTTGCGCTGCTCCATGGGAGCATGTGATTACTATAAACCTACCTTCAATCAAGGACCTGTATACTACACGAGTCAAAAAGAGGGCTGTGAAAATATTTACAGACCCTTCACATCCCGGACATAAACAGTTTCAACTCCTACCCTCAAAACGACGCTATAGAACAGGGGTCGCCAACCTTTTGGACTTCAGGGATCACCAAACTCATAATTTTATATCACGTGGACCACTAATATGAATTTTGACTGACAGTGGCTTGCTGAAGTTGGTGGGAAAGTCGGTCCCATATTCCAGAGCTGCAGTGGTCACATGACTGGCCCTTTGGTCATCACGGAGCAGCTCCTCCAATCCATGGTAGGCCAGTGCACCCAGGTGGAGGAGCAACTGCTCCGGGATGACCAAAAGGCCCTCAACACTGTCCAATTATTTACAAAGTCTGCATTGCTATTACTATTAATCTTCTCATCACTCCTTATCACTCATCTCCTCCCACTTGTGACTGGATGACTATAACTTTGTTGCTTACATCCTTATGATTTATATTGACTGTTTTCTAGTATGATTTGATTGCTTATTGTACCCTATGTTGTACCTTATGATTCTTGACTCTTGATGAATGTATCTTTTCTTTTATGTACACTGACAGCATTTGCACCAAGACAAATTCCTTGTGTGTCCAATCACACTTGGCCAATAAATAATTCTATTGTTGCCAGAAAATCAAGGTAAATGGATTACAGGTAGTCCTCAACTTACAACAGATCATTCCGTAGCTGTTTGAAGTTACAACAGCACTGAAAAAAAATGACTTACAACTGTTTTTCAGCCAGACAACCACTTCAGCATCCCCATAGTCCTGTGATCAAAATTCAGACGCTTGGCCACTGACTTATATTGATGACAGCTGTGGCATCTGGGTGTGTGTGTCACATGATCCCCTTTTGCAACCTTCTGAAATGGCAAAGCCAACTTGGGGAAGCCGGATTCACTTAACAACCGGGTTAATCACTTAACAACGATTCATTTAACCACTGCGGCAAGAAAGATCGTAGGAACGGAGCAATGCTGGCTTAAATTTCTCGGTTAGCAACATCAATTTGGGGCTCCAATGTAGTCGTAGGATGAGGCAGGTAGTTAGGCCTGGGGGGGACACAGACTTACTTAACTACGTACTACTACTACAGGTAGTCCTGTAGTAGTGTTTAAGTAAGTCTGTGTCCCCAAGGCCTAACTGCCTGCCTGGCATTATTCCTAAGGAACGTAGCAGGCTTTTCTACAGAATCCCTCCCAGCTAACACCATCCAGTTAGGATCGCGCTGTATTTCCCATTCCCAGCTAAATCGTCCACGCAGAACACCCCACCACCATCAAAAAAAAAAAATCCACGCGATTCCACATCTCCCCCACCCTCCCGCCCCCCCACGCGCCCGGCCTCTTTCCCGCCCGCCCCACAGACGTCACTCCGCCCGTCAAGGAGCGGGGGCCGGTCCTTTGGAGGGGCGGAGAAGGGGGGCGGGGCGAGGGGGAGCGCGAGCCAATCCGCCCGGTGCTTGTCTTCCGGGAGCGAGAAGGCGAGGGTGGCTCCTCCTTCGGTCGACCGGTTCCCCGGCCCGCCCATCCCCGGCTCCGTCTGAGGAGAGAGAGAGAGGGAGGGCGGGAGGCAGGGCAGAGTTCCCCATCGCGGGTGGGCGATGCCGCTCGGGCTCCTTTTCCAGCTTGCAGGTAAAGCCCGTCGGGGGCGAGGCGGCGGGGGGGGGGG